AACTTTGGGGGTACAAAGTTGAAGAGAAATTATATCTGGGGGTACGCGAACAAAAAAGGTTGAATACCACTGCTCTAGAACAACGAGTGAATTATATTAGCGTATAAATAATGTATTTCAAACAATTATGATAATATTCGTGTTCACTGCAGGCAGGAAAGAATTGGGTTTAACAGAAAATATTTAAATAAGTACCTCGTACTTCTATTTTAATTTTCGGGATTTGGGGCAGTGGTTCGCAACCGGTGTGTCGCAACAAGGGTTCATGTATGTCTCGAATTTTTATAATAAATTTTACATTTCCAAGTTGGTTATGTTGAATAGGATTGGTTTACCCGCACAAATATGCTCAAAAACTGCAGTGATTTATAAAAGAGGTTTGAATAAACGTCCACTTTTATAAAAAAAATGTCAGGGTGTTTACAGATAGTTTCATATATTGGTATAGTGTGGTCTGTATTTTTAAGACGTTGACATTTATTGAAATTAGACCACTATTCCTGTGTACAACCTTGACCGCATTGTTATACTAGCGTTTTTTGAAGAACGTGTTTGCGGTGAGTGGAAAGTTGGGTATTTAATATCGATATTTAAGAAAGGTATTTGCTAATCCATCCGAGTGTAAGCAATTATCGATGAGAGATAAGCGATTGTAAGTGTAATCGATTATCGAGGGTGTAGAGGGGGCGAATAGGTTTTTGATGTGGTCGTTCGTTTATCACAAACATTTTTTAGGCGTTCTTTACACTGCAACGGTGACTCTGGAAACATTTGTTACAGTTTTTAGTCCTTTGGAGTGAGAGTGACATTAGTCCACTTGCCAGTTTTTGACAAAAGCCTTTGAACATATATACTTTGGGACATTTTGTGGATGATTAAATGTATCATATTTCTTGAAACTTTGTTTCCTCCTTTTAAAGAGCTTTAGCGTTAGAAGGAAAATTTTCGTAAATGTATTTTAAGTATCTTGTGCTTACGTTTAAAATTCGAGCAATTTCTCATCTTTTATGGAAGAAGCGGTTGACAAAGTTTCTTGATGTCTTTAGCCTTTGTCTCCGATTTGGAAACTTCAAAGATGAGATGTTCTTACACATCTTACTGATCTCACCCTGTGGGTAATGTTGGGATTACGTCAGTTTGTTTAATATCTCGGTGATATGATGGTATAAATTCGGCATTAGCATTTTTGATCGATTTATGGTGTAGAAGTAAAGTTTGTCCCACTATACGCCATGTAGGCGTTTGGGGGGGAGTGGAGGTATAGCTCCTCTCTTCCTTGACCTCGGCACTAGATAGGGGTGAGTGGTTAGAGTCACGCCCCGGCCGGCTTTACCCCCGGGAAAGGACCCCCGGTACCCATTGTAGAGGAGGCTGGGTGGGCCCCAGAGCCAGTCTGGACGCAGAGGCTAGAGGAAAAATCCTCTGCCCCCGTCGGGGATCGAACCCCGGTCGTCCAGCCCGTAGCTAGTCACTATACTGACTGAGTTATCCCGGCTCATGCGATTTCTGGTGTAGAAGATTAAATTTAGATCAGTGCCCAAAGATTTGTCTCGGGATTTGAGCCCATGATACATATCGCAATTTTAGATTTTTTTTGTAGCTGTGTGTACTGTTTAAAAGTCCGAGTCTCTTATAAGGGCGAGACGCGATGAAAGATGACTACTTGCATGTCAGAGTACCCAAAATTCTAAGCTAGACTTAGGTTATATGATAAACTTTCTCTCCTGTACGGCCTTTATATATTTCCCTCCTTTTAAGATGTGTAGGCCATATATAAATCCCCAGTTAAAGTATTATTGTCGCGATATAATTGTAATCAAACGTCGTGGTCGAGTGGTTAGCACACCAGCTTCGTGTTCGAGAGGTCTCGGGTTCAAATCTCGACCCCGGAGACCGACTAACTTGACTGAGGGTTTTCGTGGTTTTTCTCAGTCCCTCCAGGCAAATTCCGGGATAGTACCTTGCGTTAGGCCAGGACCGCTTCCTTCCATATCCTTTCATTCGACGCTGTGTAGTCTGAGTTACTGTAAAAACGTCCCTAAATAAATTTCTGCATTCATACGTTTGTGTGCCAAACAGAGGACGTTTGGTTCGCTGTTGAGACAAGGAATTAGATGCAATTTGATGTTAGATGGCGAACTCCGTGTTGTTTGCGAAATATATTTTCCCGTATAATCGATAAAAACGTAACAAAAACATTTAGATGCTACAAATACGTACGTTTAATTACATATACTATTAACATTTTTTAAATATTTACTAATAACAAAAAAAGATTTTGTATAAAATTTAATACGGTGGAGACCAACTATTTTTAAAAAAAATGATTCCAACGGATCGTAATAACGTTCTATTGTCGTAAATTTTAGGTTTTAGCTACAATTTATTTATTTTAATATGTTAAATAATGTCATTATTGTATTAATTTGAAACCTTCTAACGTTTACGACAGATTTTCTAAATTAATTTTTAATCCACTACTCGGTTTATCTGCCCCCAGATAATCGGGAGTCTACTGTATCAGATTATGTGATACTACGAAATAAACTGATTTTTATTGTTGGAACAAAGTTTAAACAACAGTATCTTAAAAATCCACCACGGTGGTCTAGTGGTTAGAACGCTGGCCTTGTAATCCTGGGGGTCTCGGGTTCGATTCCCGGCGGTGCCCGAATTTATAACTTGTGTTGGGCAAGGCCGTGGTCTAGGCAACACGGAGTTTTCCTCCGTGGCATCCCAACAATTACTCCATTCACACACAGAAGAAGGCAATGGCAAACCACTTCTGGATCATCTGCCACGAACGTATATGAACAGGTCCCAGTCCGAGAAAAGGATGCAAGGATCCTGTTCATATGGACCTGTCGTCAGACAGAACACTAATAATAATATAATAATCTTAAAAATAAAGCATGAACAACAAGTTTATGACTTCTGAAGATACAGGCATATTAAAACTTAAATGTTTATTGTAAGTTTCTTGATATTTTTCGGATGTTGAACATTATTTTCAACATATTTGTTGATTGGTAGTAGATATTGTTTTTCTGTTTTATTAGATCCAACGATAAAATGGCATTGACACTCGTTTCTAGATTAGGTTAGAAGCAGACGGTTGACCAAAGAAACTTTCCAGTCTCTTAAATTATTTCTAAAATTAAGTTTCATGTGTTCAGAGAGCTATATTTTCTTACGAAAGAGACGCATACAGTTTGTAAACCAGTGAATTTGGCATAACTACGAATAATCAGAGACTGGGACAGATACTGGATTACAAATGAGAATGGATATTTTAGATCGAAAGTTTTTTTTTTTGTCAATGAATTAATAAACGATAAATACGTGTTTTATTAAATTACACGTATGTACATAATATTCTTATCTCTCTGTGCAGCGTTGACTTTTTCATTTACATTGCTAAGAAGTCTTTATCTTTCTTTCTGAAGC